GCCATTAGCCATGAGCGTTTGTGAGCTTGGCACCACTGTGCGCACTGCGGAGCTTGGTCAATTGGCGACGGCATTTGGCGGTCGCTGCGTGTGGCTGCTCTCTCAAAGCAACGTTTAAATGTTAATAATTTTTATTGTCAGCGTTGATGTTGCTGTTGTTGTTGTTGTTGTTGTTGTTGCTGGTGCTGTTGTTGTCGACAGGGCCGATGATAATGCTAATGGCTCGTTCGTTTGTTGGGTCATTGTCTGGTCATTGGCCGCGCGACAAAAGTTTTGCACACATCAAGAAGAAGCAGAAAAAGAAGTGGAAGTCGACGAAGAAGTGGAGGACGAGAAGAAGAAGGTGACACATACAGCAATGCTGACGACAAATGCCGGGAGCTAAAAGTTTGAAGTTGCAGTTGGACGCCAAAAACAAATGTTAAGCAATTGATTTATGGTCAGCATAAAAATTATTATTATTACTGCTAGTAATATGCAGCTAGTCGACTCGCCATAAAAGCTATAGTATCTATGGCTATATCTATTATAGCTGCGGCCAAATCCAAAGGTTTTTCCATTTGACATTGATTTGAGTTTCCGCAACAAATGCAAATGGCAAAATGGCAAATGGTTAATTAAAATATTTAAAACAACAAGTCAATTCTGCGAGTCAATCAAAACTTGCACTTGAAGTGCACACAGTAAATATATATTCATATATGTATATATATATATATGTAGAGTATCTATATCGCATACATATTTCAGTGTAGAGCAAAACAAGTCTCGTAGAATGCAATTAACAAATCAAAAGCAACAAGACATCACAATCAGGCGCACAAGCAGTCCACGGCAGGCACGAATATCGAGCTTGAGATGCAGATATAGATACAAAAGATACAGATCCAAAGATACAGATACATAGATGCAGATACATAGATACAGATCCAAAGATACAGATACATAGATGCAGATACATAGATACAGATACATAGATACAGATACATAGATACAGATACATAGATACAGATACATAGATACAGATACATAGATACAGATACATAGATACAGATACATAGATTCAGATACATAGATACAGATACATAGATACAAATACATAGATACAGATACATAGATACAGATACATAGATACAGATACATAGATACAGATACAGATACATAGATACAGATACATAGATACAGATACATAGATACAGATACATAGATACAGATACATAGATACAGATACATAGATACAGATACATAGATACAGATACATAGATACAGATACATAGATACAGATACATAGATACAGATACATAGATACAGATACATAGATACAGATACATAGATACAGATACATAGATACAGATACAGATACAGATACAGATACAGATACAGATACAGATACAGATACAGATACAGATACAGATACAGATACAGATACAGATACAGATACAGATACAGATACAGATACAGATACAGATACAGATACAGATACAGATACAGATACAGATACAGATACAGATACAGATACAGATACAGATACAGATACAGATACAGATACAGATACAGATACAGATACAGATACAGATACAGATACAGATACAGATACAGATACAGATACAGATACAGATACAGATACAGATACACATATCTATACAGCTTCAGCATCATTCAAGTTTGAGATACTTTGGAAATTAGCGTTACAATTATCAGTGATACGCCTGACAGCTGCCAGCTGAGTCAAATGCTTAAGTCATTCACTACGTCAGTCGCTCAATCAGTCAGTAAGTCCGTCAGTCAGTCAATCAATCATTCGCCTTTACTTTGCAGGCAGCTCTTGATAAATGGCCTTCGCATTGTGGCAAACCGACGCGTGCGACTGTCTCACAGCACATTTATCTAACGTGTAGACGGTTCTATATCTATGTATACAAATATTTGTATATACATACATATAAATACATTCGCAAACTGATCTTAAGACTCAAATGGAACTCAACATCGGCTGCGACTCGACTCGACTTGACATAACTCAATCTGACTTGACTCGACTCGATTCGTTCGCTTGCGTCGCAGTTGCGAAAATCAAAGCAATTTATTGATTTTTTTTTGCAACAAACGGAAAAAACAGTTTCAAGTTCAGTTGATCATCAATCAGCAGTGCGACAAGTGGTAGCGCGAAAATAAAAAGAACGACGACTACCTAGATGCACTATGAAAAATATAAAATGAAAAGAAAGTTTTGAAATCTGTAGAAGATCATTAATTACAGAGAACGATAACAGTTTCGATAGCTGATGACTGATTTGGCTCTGTGCCTATGAAGTAAATGATCTATGTTAGAGAGTATAGTGTTGATTATAGATAATAGACATCCAATACTTGAATGTTATATGAAAATGATGATATATTGCATGGCGCATAGATCAAAGCTCCGAAAAAACCATAGGCCAAATAGCAAATAGCAAAAGTATAAGCTAATCATGGCGTCTAGTACACCCATATAACCATAAAGTTATTAGAGCATTATCTATTTTTTGTCGTATTTATGATTCAGTTTAAGACCTCCATGAATAATGCGCCATAAAAATATGCATAATTCGAGGATCTAATTAAGAGACAACATTTCAGCAATATTAGAGCAATAACAAAAGCATAAAAGACCAGACAGACACGGGGAATATATAAATATGGCTATACATGAGCGGTACAAATGGGTAATGCGCAAATAGCAGTAGCTGCATGTTAAATGTTTACAAGCAGACTGTAAATGAAGAGTAAATTGGTTATATTGGGGTTATATACATATATGTATTTAGATATACTAAAATAAAAGCAGGGAAGATTTTATATTATTTATATATTTGTAAAATGTTTTATATATGTATGTAAGGCAAAATATAAGCCCGTCAATTTCATGTCAAGGAATTACAATGAGCTTCCAAGCGCATTGTAAATGAATGTCTTCTATGAATATGCATATCAAATGCATATGATATTAATTATTATTTTAGACAAGTTGTTTTCAAATGTGCATCTAACCCGTTTATCTCAGCGTACATATCAATAGGGCATAGACATAGACGGTGCGCGTGTGCAAATATGTTTAAGAGGTACAGTCGGTTAGTCAGTCAGTCAGTCAGTCAGTCAACTAATTTAGCAGTTTGTCTGGCCCAGACGCCAACATAAAAATAAAAATAAAATAAAATTTGTCTGCTGAAAACTAACAAAAAGTTTTAAAGTATTTTAATTATAAATATATATAGATTCAGCATAGAGGTTTAGATATATGTATGTATATGTACGGCTACTTGTACCACAGACAGTTGGACAAACAGCCGTCGCTGTATGTAAACATCAAAGCAAATTGTCTGGACGGCTGCCTTGTTGTCTGATCGACAGCTCAACTCGAAATTCATTTATTTTATTATTTTCTTTCGCTACTCGATTTGATTTGTAGCTGCTTCTACGCAATTTTCCAGCAAAGTGCAAAAATAAACAAAGACCAATAGAGAGGGACGAGAGTCGGACTGAGAGAGAGAGAGATAGATGGAGAGAGAGAGGGAGAGATAGGTTGCTTGTTTGCTTTGCTAATTTATTTTCGAATATGATGTAGAGCTTTTAAAATAAACAACAAACCAAAAGGCAAAAACTTTGACAGCTAAAGACTGAATGAATGAGACAACGAAAGATACAGAGAGAGTGAGAGAGAGAAAGAGAGGGAAAGGGGGAGAGTTTGATATAGGGAGAGCCAGCTCTATGCGCGATTAGATTTAGTCAAAAAATAATGCTCATACGACGCGTTGACCGATAACCCGCTACTGTTAGCCAAGGTCACATAGTTTCTAATTCTTATTCCTTTACTCTAATACTTTTCTTGTATTGGTTTTTTGATTTTGTCGGTCTTTTGTCTGAAGTTTATTTCGCGGGTACTTTTCCGCCATTAACACCGAAAGAAAAAAAACCTATTCATAATGCGACCCGAGGTCCCAGGTGCTAACAATGGCGCTAATGAATGACACGTTTCCAACAGACACTGCAGACATGCAGTAAACGCGTGGACAAAACCCAAGCTAAGAAGTTGAAGTGGTAGCAGAAGGGTAGAGGAGGAGTAGAGGAGTGCAGAAGGTAGAATTATGAAAATTTCGCAAATATTGGCAAATTTTGAAATTAATGATAAAAAAAAAAAGTAGAGCAGCGGATTGGAAAGGAAAAAGGAATCTTTAACTGGAGTGAAAAAAATTCAGCTTGAATATATATATATATATAATGATGGAGTTTTATAAATAGCGTTTAATGAGAGAATTTTTAAACTCAATATCATCTTTAGTCTAACGAATCAATATATCTTCTAAAGAAAGAAGTTAAAGAACCTCAGTATGACATATAATGAAAGAGTTTTCAACTAATGGTATATTTTATCAAAGAATGTATGAATTTGATAAGAATGATTTAATAATATAAAAAATGCTTAATTTTAATATAAGATATAATGTAGGAATTTTTTACATGTAAAGACAGAAACTTTGGCTTCAATTTAATTTTCACTAAATGAATCTTTAATAACGAAAAACTAGATTCAATATATTACCTAGTTCACAGCTCAAAGTCCAGCAATAAAATTTCACATCATTATCCATGGCGCTTGCCACACGGTGCCACACGTTGCGTTTGTGTTTTTGTTATCTTGATGCGATGTGCGATAATCAATCAACAGGCGACAATGGCATACAAGTGACGATGACGTCATGGCTGGCACTGCAGTGTTGCAGTCAATGAGAGAGAACGACAACAAGAAGGAGAAGGAGAAGGAGAAGGAGAGGTAGCAGTTGCTGGGGTCAAGCGTGCGCGCAAAGTGCACGCTAGGTGGCGCTGGCGCTCATGTCTAGACTTTGTTTTGACTTTTTAGCTTGATATGCTAATTGATATGGCAGCAACTTTTACAGTTGTTGTGTAGTTTTTTCATTTTTTGTTTTTTGTTTTTTTTTTTTTTTTTTTTTGCAACTAAGTATTTGTCTAATTTGAAAATTGCAATGGCCTCCGTCTTGATACTGTTGTTGTTGCTGTTGCAATTTTGCTAACCCTCCCCATTTTGCACGCACATTCAATTTGCCGTGGTTCTAACTGTAAACACGACTCGTCAGCGACAGCGTCGTCATGTCTGGCCTAGCTGTGAGAACACACACAGAGTGAACGAGAAGAAGAGCGCGAGAGAGTGACAGAGAGGGAGAGGCGTGACGTGCGGGGGGCGGGCAACGAACTCAGTTGTTGTTGTTGTTGTTGCTGCTGCTGCTGCGGCTCCTCGACATGAATATGAAACGTATGCAAAATGAAGGGAAACGCGAGCAACTTTTGCAATTTACAGATTGTGGCGCTGTGGCGGCGGAAGACAGCGAGAGAGAGAGAAAGAGAGTGAGAGGGGGGGGCGAAGAGATAGAGAAAGGGGCAGTGGTATCGCTTAGTTGCTGCTTTTAGTAGAGAGTTTTTTTTTGTTATTTTTGTTTTTGTCATGGCATTGGCTTGTCAGAAACTGCTCCCCCATTGCAATGCATTGTTGTTGCGATTGCTGCTGCTGCTGCTGCTGCTGCCTGTCGCTTTATTTATTTGTTCAACATTTCATGTATTTTGTTATGCGCTGCCTGCAGCCTGCAGCAGCAGCACCAAAAACAACAACAGCATTCACATCAACTGAGCTGCGTTAACTGATGGCAGTAACTGTGATGCTGCTGCAGCAGTCGCTGTTGCTGCTGCTGCTATCGCTCCCTTACTTCAATTAATTGGCAAATGTGCTGGCAACATGACAGCTTTACTGTCATTAGGCATAAAAGGGGCGTGGCTGGCCACAAAAAATCCATTATGCTTGCATACTCTATACCCTGTATATAGTGTGTATAGTTCTAATAGGATATATGCAATATAAGTTTCATTTACCATATCAGAAAGGGTGATCTATTTTATACCCTTCACTGATTAGCTGTGAGGTATATAGGAGTTCCATAAGGAATTACAGGGTCATGACTGTCTATCCTGTAGGGAGTGTAGTAGTTCTAATGCAGTATAATACTACTGTAGCAGAGGATTATAGGCCATACAAATTAATGTGGATTAACCATTAGAATTATTGGAAATGTTACTTCAATTTCGATATTCATCGATTTTAAATGGAGTAGTCGGATACATTTGTGAAGCATTGACATTGCAGCTATTCTGATTTAAGACTTTACAGTTGAATATTGATATCTAGTTTAAATAAAGAATTAAAAAGGAAATAAATCTTAAGACATGGTTGACTTTGGAGGGTATCTATGAGTCAGGCACATTTTCTCAACACTCTCGCGCTGCTCAGCAGCATGTTGCCAGCACTGCTGCTACGGCAGCTGCAACATTGATGCATCTGCCGCTGCTGCCTTTGCTCTATCGCTCGTTCACACTCTCGCTGTTTGTCACTGTGTCTGTGTGTGTGTGTGTGTGTGTGTAGCTGTGCCCTGGGGCACTTTTCTTATTTATTTGCGTTATTTATTTCTTGGCGCTGCTTTCGCTTTTGGCAGCGCCAGACGCCAGCGTCGCTCTTGTTGCTGTTGTTTGCATTTGTGACAAAAATAAATGCGCTGGCATTAATTTGCCGTCTGCAATTTTTGCCAGTGGCCAGCGGGCACCAAACTCTTCCTGTCCCACTCACACCTCATGCCCTCCCTCATTCTCTCTCTCTTACACTCTCTCCCTCTCCCTCTCCTTCTCTGTCACTGTCTTTCCTTTGCTCTTTCACTCTTGCTGCAATCAGAAATTCAAGCGAAATGCAAATGTTTGACAACGAACTTTTCCCTAGTTGCTGTCGTTGTTGTTGTTGTTGTTGTTGTTGTTGCTGCTGCTGTTGCTGTTGCTGTCGTTGTTGTTGCTGCTGGCTGAGTCAGCGAACAGTTTAGCAATATGTTAAGAACTTTAGACTTAAGTCTATGCGATTATTTGTATGGCGCTATGCAGCAGTTGCTATTGCATTTAGCATAACTGGCAAACAAAACTAAACGCAAGACAAAAAACAAAAGCATGGAAAAAAGATAAACTAAGCAATAAATTGAGTGAGTGAGATAATATGGCTTAAATTGCCAGATTGTGGCCAATGAAAATCTATTATTAAAGAGAGCGAAAAAATAAACAAACGGAATTAAAATTTTAGCTTACAGAGTCGAAGTATATACGCCCACTTAGTCGATTGGTCCTCAGGATACAGGGTATCTGTGAAGCCTAAAATAAATTGAAAACAATTTTGAACAAGTTATTTAAAAGATTTCAAGTTTTTAAAAATCTTATATTCTTGATTTATTTATAACATAAAATTGGACACAATTCTCCGTTGGGTAATGAAGATATATTTTTAATTGAGGTTTTACCACTGAACATTTTTAGTAAAAATATGCAAGATATTTTAAAACTTGTGTAAATATTTTAAATATCAATTCATATATCAACAAAAATAAAGAAATTCCCTGTAAATATAATAAACATTTTAAAGGTAAAAGTTTACACAATAAATTTTCTAAAGAAATTCAGAAATTCAATGAAAATTTTCGTTTAGGTTGGAAAAACTTTTTGGTTGCTAGCACAGCTCCAGAGGATTGGTTCTCTGGCCTCCCTAGACACATGCTTGCCACAGAATAATAAATTATAATCAGAGGGGGAGCAGGAAAAAAAAAGAATGAATGGGGGGACGAGCTGTGCGAATCGCAAGAACAAATACGTTAAAGCCAACAGGCAGGCCATACTTGCTTTGAGCCTTTTGGCCAGCCAAAGTTTTGTGGTTGCAAAAGGCTTAACGACTTTCAAAGGTGTCAGCCAAGCAAACAAATTTGGCCCGCAAAGCGGCGGAGGCAACAGCAGCGGCGGCGGCGGCGGCGGCAGCGGCAGCAGGTGGCATGCAACAAAACGGCAGTCAGCATTAAGCAATTGCGGCAACTGCGGCCATTGGCTGTGCAAACACGTGTAAAGTCAAAGCAACAGGCCAACAAACGGGGCCAACAAACGTGGCCAACAAACAACCAATCACAATAAACCAAAGCCAACCAAAGCAATGCAAAGCAAAGCAAAGCAAATCAAACAATGTCAAAGACAAAGAGACTAAAGTACAAAGAGTTGTGCGTAGTGCTTGCTCCGTCAGTCAGTCAATCAGTCACTCAGTCAGTCAGTCAGTCAATCAATCAGCTAGTCAGCTGGAGGAAAGACCGAACAAAGCGAATATTATATGTAGAGAGAACTCTTTGCATATGCTTTGTCAGTCACAAAGTCAGTCAATCCGTCAGTCAACCTAATAGTTGGTCAAAGAGCGTCAAAGGGCATGTTTTAGGTATGGAGAATAAAACAGTGATTGCACTAAGCTCAGTTGGTTAAACATTTAGTTAAACAGTTAGTTGGATAAAATGACTGTGCGCGCTAGTGAGACAGAGATAGTTATAACAATAGAGATTGAAAGAGTGAAAAAGCGAGCAAGACAGAGATTGAAAGGTATTTTACAAATATGATTCAATTTGACGTATCAATCATTGAATAAGTATATCAATCACACAGCCTTTGATATTAAAGGGCGTACAAAGACAGAATATCAAAAGAAAGAGAGAGAGAGAGACGGAAGGCAATTGACTGTCAATACTTTGACTTTACTCAATCTGCGTCAATCAGTCAGTCAATCACTTAATTATGCTCACAATATGCTCAAGAAATTATTGGTTACTAAAATAAAGTACGCTACAGCTTATCTTCCATATTTTCAACCTATCAATCCATCAATCATTCTGTCAATTTATCACCTGTGCATAATTGCTGACATTATGCTCAATTGCGGCTCGTGCCTATATCACAAAAAAAAAAAAAAAAAAAAAAAAAAAAAAAAACAACAACACAATAATAATGTCGTTAAAATGTAATCACTGAGCTTATCTTAAGCACACATCAGGCATAGATACATAGGTAGATGTAATACATTGTATATATGTATATCTGTCTGTCTGTATATCCACTTATGCATTCATGTTTATCATATCAACATGACTCTACAAATCTAATCTCTAATGAGCTTTGTACTTAGCGTTTGATTCCTTTTGCTCTTTGCTGTGATCAAATCTATACGTAGTTTTTGTTAGTGTTTGGATAGGTATGTGCTACATATATATAGGGGGAATGCTCATAAATATATATATACGATATATCCTATAATTTCAGGTTTTTTTTATTATTTCCAAATTAATTTTCCAAGTTCTGCTAAAAATTGAATAATCAAGCATCGGTTTTTATTTTGCTGCAACGTTTTTCAAATTGATAAACCTTGAAACATAAATCTATTTATATTCAACTATTCATATTCGTGCAAATATTACGTATACGCCAGGCATGTCCATCAACAGTTGATGCAAATTTATGATCACGATTTATGCAATGTGCAAAAAATTAAAAAATAAAAAATAAGTACATACTATAAATAAAAACCATAAATAAAATAAATAAATAAATACAAAAAAATACTGTATCGCATTTTGTATGAGTGAAAGAGATGGCACTAATAGAGCGACTCGTTTGCTCTAATAGTCATAGAGATAGTCGAAACTTTGTCAAGCATTCACGCAGGACTAGGCTAGGCATTTAGAGACTGTGTGTGTGTGTGTGCTTGACAAAATTTATGAATATAACAGGAACAACAGCAACAACAACAACAACAACTAGAACTCGATGTGTCAGCAACTGCAGCGCTTCTTTCGACCAGGTGGCGGTCCAATGCATGCGTTGGCAATTAAAACTGAAGTTTTGCACGCTACATTTAAAGCAACTGCAACAGCAGCAGCAGCAGCAGCAGCAACAGACACTGCCACAGCAGCAGCAACAATGTACAAATGCAAACGGCGGTCATAAAAATTTGTGGCAAGCGGCACGCCGCTGCATGCAACATGGACAACGCGGCCTCAACTCATGTGGAATTGATGTGCCATGCCTCGCCTGTCATTCACTCGCTCACTCACTCACTCACTCGCTCACTCATTCACTCACTCAGTCAGTCAATCGTTCGCTTTTTGTTTGAACTTTGTTATCCATCTCCCTCTCTCCATCACTGCCTCTCGCTCTTTGGCACTTGCACATTAGCTGATTTGCAATTAAAAACCAAACACGTTTGTCGGCCCACCCACCAAGGCTCTGCTGCAGGCGTCGTGCTGTTGCTGCCACATCATATGCAGCCAAGGCCAACCACACGTGCTGCAACTGTGAGCCACACATGCATACGGCCAAAAAGATGCCATAAGCCAGACGTCTGTACCAGGCTGTCTTGATGCGGCTAGCGATGAGCGCCTGTGAACTATGAGAAAGCTAAATACATATGTGTGCAGATTCGTTGAAGAAGGTGAGAAAGACTTAAAAGGGGACTAAGATTGAAATTAAAGAGAATTGAGATAATAAGGAAACAACTGATACGACGATTCGATCCGATGAAATAGTAGTCACAGACTCGAATCACTTGAACAAATTTAGAGAATTGAGATGATAACGAAATATCTGCGGAAATTCGATAAAATCGTATTAACAACCTCTAAAAACTTTAAAGATGCTTAAAATAGGACTGCGATAGAAATAAATAGAATTGAGTAATATGTTAAGAAATATCTGTAGAGATTCATTGAAATAGAAGTCACAGACTGGAATCTCTTGAAACAATTTAGATACGACTGCGATATAAATGAAATAGAATTGAGATGATAAGGACAATATATTTTATAAAAAATATTTGTAGAGATTCCCTGAAATAACAGTCACAGACTACTAAGATAGAAACCAAATAGAATTGAGGTTAAAATAATAATTTGTTAGGAAATAGCTATAGAGCTTCATTAAAATAATTAGTCACAAACACGAATCTCTTTAAAAAGTTGATATAGGCTTGCAATAAGGCTTTGATAAGAATGAAGTAAAATTGACAGAATAAAGAAATATATATAATATTCACAGGCTGCAATATCTTTTAAAGATCTAGCAGAGTAGTTTACTATATAATAACTCAGTCACTAACTTCACTCAATGTAACTGATATCTCTGCAACATCTCTAAAAATATCTTTAGTTTTGTTCAGCAACTCCTGCTCACGACTTGCTCACGTGCTCACGTGTGCATCTCTAAGATGCCAGCTCATAGTTTAGTATGCACATAACTCGCTCATGTGTGTGTTGTGTGTGTGTGTGTCGCATTGGCATTTGCATTGGCATTACATTTGGAGTTGGGCCGACTTAGTTGATTATCGGACTCAATGCCATTGTTGCAATTGTTGCTATTGCTGTTGCTGTAGTTGTTGCTATGGTAGTAGTTGTTGTTGTTGTCTTCAGAGCCAGATCGATTTGTCTGCACAATGGCAAGCGCAAATGTCAATGCGACAGACAGGCTGAGCAGAGCAAATCAAGCCAAAAGCCGCAGCCCAAGCCAAAACGTGAGCTGGCAATTAAGTAAAACTTGGCTAGCTCACTGAAGACAAAGACGAGCATTGAAAGATTGATTGAAAGACTGAAGACCCGAAGGCCTAAGCGGCTAGAAGCCTGCAAGTCTTTGCCTTTGCCACATGTCACAATATGCCACATTGCAAATATTTGAATGACCCTCCCTCTGGCATGGTCCCCCCTCTCTCGCTCACTCTCTCGCTCTCTCTCTCTGCTTGCCTCTTTAAGTAGCTTTCCATATATGCAAGAGAATTGACTTTGATTAGTCTTATTTTTTTTACATACCCTGAACATATTCAAAAAGGTTAAGAGGGCATATTAGTTTTGCGAAAAGTGAATGTGAGAGGGAGAAGAAAAGGGCGTGGTAAAGGTGGTAAAGTGAGATATAAGCTTGAAGTGAATATGCTGTGCCGATACAGAGTTGGTTATTATTTTACTTATATAGGCGAAGGCGAAGTTCATGCAATGAATGGATATTTCTAGATGCTTCTCTTTATATGCCACATAAAATATTATTATATGTAGTAGAATTTAAAGTATATCCATGCATTATTATACATTTAGAGTCGTAGCTATTCTATAGTGGGTGAAAAATCAACTCCAATTAGAGTGCGGGGTATCTGCTAGTCGAGCACTGCCGACTGGAGCACTCTTGCTCGATGCTTTGCTAGTTTTGTTTTTGCACGCTGAGAATGTTGAAGAATTGTGTGACGAATGAGCATCAATATAGCCAAATGCCACAAGTTGCGGCAAATGCGACTGCAACTGCAACTGCCACAGCAA